TACTTTTATACAAAATGTCATCCCTCACCTTCTTCCTTGTAAATTTCACAATCACATCCCGTACGGTTTTATTCTTCCTCGCATAGAATGAAGAAATCCTATAAACTTGGTCCACCTCTTGTTCAAATTCATCCTCCTCACATTCCATACAACTTGCCAGCATTTTAATAACCAATGATCTTATGTCTTCTTTATCCTCCTCCGCTATATTTCTGAATCTTAATTGGAAGTCCATTTGCATTTGCAGTAATCTCTCTTGTTCCCATTCCATTTTTTCCCTATGTTTATCCAGTCCTTTTATCTTCTGAGCCATTTCTGATTGTGTTCCCTCAATTTTCTCTTTAGAGACTTTTAATTCTTTCACCTCTCCATGTAGTTGCGATATGTCTTCTTTTATCTGGCCAAATTCTTGCTTTATTTCAGACTTCAAGACCTTGAATTCTTCTGTCATCTTTGTAATAATTCCCTCTTGTTTCTTATAATATTCTTCATGTTTAGCCTTAACCTCCTCTTTCAATTCCACTTTCAAAGCATCTTGTTTTTCCGAAATCTTTTTTATTTCTTTTAATAGGTTGTCCATTTTTGGGTTTATATCCAGAGACCCCCTCCGGGATTCTGGTTTGCCTGGGGTTGCCATTTCTTTCAACTCGTCTGCTTCTCGTCCTCGAATTATCTATTTTCGTCTGCTTCTCGTCCTCGTCCTCGGTGCCCTTCGTCTACTTCTCTTCCTCGCCTCGTCCGCGTCTCCTCACCTCAAGCGTCTGCTTCTCGTCCTCGAATCGTCTACTTCTCGTCCTCGATCTGTCTCCTCCTGCCCTCTACTTCTCTATCGGATTTTCGGATTTTCCCTTAATTTAATTCCAATTTATTTCCAATTTATTTCCAATTTTTCTCTAGCCGCTCTGTATCGGACTTTCTCTATGGTTTTCAAAATGGCGTCTTCCCTCCTTCCGCCCCGTCACTTCCGCCCCTCTGTCCCTCTGTCCCTTCTATGCTTCTTCCGACCTTCTCGTCCGTCACTTTAATCTGCCTTCCGTTTCCGTTTCCGTCACTTCCTCCCGCCAACTCAGCCTACTTGTTTATAAAGAAGGCTGAAGATAGACACAACAGTTATGGCGTCAAGGTCGGAGATATTATCAGTTTTCTACTTTCTTTTAGATTTTCGGGGGGGATGCGAAGGGGGGCTATCACTCCATCTTCGTCTTCATTTTCATCTACTTTAGCAGAGCGGTTTTTCCTCTAAATTTGCCTCTAATTTCGATGATTTAAATTCATCAATTTAGATTGCCAATTTAAGTTAAATTTTATTATAATTTGTATATATTTTAATCAATCAATCAGATATTACTACCGAGAGACCGGAGACCAAAAATGTGATCTCTTCCTCTTTAAATCCTGCGGCTTCTTTTCTTCTTATCTCCTTCTCTCTCTTTATTTCCCCAAGCCCTTACGGCTTGGCTATTTATTCTTTAAAAGTGTGGGATCTTGTCCCGTTACCTGTTGCTGGGGTCTTTCTTGCTTCCCCACCCAATCTGGGCTTTCTTTATTTCAACTTCTTCTTCTAATTTGTGAATGGATCGGTGGCGGTTAAACGGACCTTGCGGTTCGATCCTCGTGGGGCGGCTCGCTTTCCCCTGTGTTGCCCGGACCCACTCGACCTCTCCTCCTTGAGGGGGGGGGAGATCTTTGGGGTCTCAAGCCCACACTGGGATTCGCGGCACCTTTGCAAACTCAATCCGGCAAAAGGGGGGAGCATTCAGCTCAACCTAGCCGCCACAACACAGGTCCTCGCTGGGAGCTCACTCTCAGCGAGGCAGTCCCGTCGCCATGTCCACCGGAAGTCCTGTGCCATTGTTTTTATTGACATGGTTAGTAAAACAAACACTTGAGCAGGAAAAATGGCAATTGCTGAGTGAAACGTACTCCCAAGTGGGGGATGAATATATTTTAGGGAACCAAGCTCACTTAATCCTCATATCCATATGCTTGCATGTTAATTACTAACCGTCACTATAACTATATGAATATCATACATTTCATTTAGTACCCTTGAAATGAATAGAAATATTTCTAGCATCCCTCATGCTTCCAACAAGCTATTGGGATGTAGCATCTAGACTTGAACCCTGCTATTCTCAATATTATTCCCCTTTTTTGAATCTTTGATACATGGAACTCTAGCTGAGTATAATGTAACCATCCACCTTGGCCATTTAGAATTGTTGGATGTTTGCACAAATGGAAATATGGTTACCCCTAAAGGTTTTATTATAAGAAGAGAGGAGATGATGTCTTCCCGTCTAAATCCTATGTGCATTCTGGATAAATACATTGGACCTTTTTCCTGTCGTTATTTATATCAATTGAAAGAATGATTTCACTCCCACATCCCTTGTAAGCACTGAGGTGGAAAACTACTGTGAATAATTAATACTAACTCTAAACCCAAACTCCTGCGGTACTATACATTTACTAGCTGTCCCCTGCCACACGTTGCTGTGGCCTAGTCTGGTGGTCTGGAAAATAATGAGGAAAGTGTTGGTTTCTAATATATGTAATTTCTTCATGCTTGTGGGTAAACAGTATTTCTTGCTGTTTCTTTGTCAGTGTTGATATGGAGATTGTCTGGTTTGCCTACTCTGGAACATGCAAAATATAATTGTCTTTAGGGGTCCCTTTCAAATCTATACTATATCTGTCATATACATATATGTGTGTGTGTAAATCATATATATCTATAACTATGGCTGAATGGCTGTTTGTAAAGAGGGCTTTGATTGTGTTTTCTTGCCCTGGTGAAGGACTGGATGGCCTTAAGGCAGCATTTGTCAAGCTGGGGGTCAGGACCCCTGGGGGGGGGGTTGCAAGGGGTGTCAGAAGGGTCACCAAAGACCACCAGAAAACACAGTCTTTTCTGTTGGTTATGGGGGTTCTGTGTGGGAGGTTTGGCACAATTCTATCGTTGGTGGGGTTCAGAATGCTCTTTGATTGTAGGTGAACTATAAATCCCAGTAACACAACTCCCAAATGTCAAGGTCTATTTGCTCCAAACTCCATCTGTGTTCATATTTGAGCATATCGAGTATTCGTGCCAAATTTGGTCCACATCTATCATTGTTTGAGTCTACAGTGCTCTCTGGATGTAGGTAAACTACAACTCCCAAACTCAAGGTCAATGCCCACCAAACCCTTCTAGTGTTTTCTGATGGTCATGGGAGTCCTGTGTGCCAAAACTGGTTCAATTCCATTGTTGGTGGAGTTCAGAATGCTCTTTGGTTGTAGGTTAACTATAAGTCCCAGCAACTACAACTCCCAAATGATAAAATCAACCTTTTTGAGTAATGGTCACTCCTTGGGTTAGTAGGTGTCTTGTGGCCAAATTTGGCGGCAAGTAGTCCAGCAGATTTTGAGTTATGATGTCACTCAAAACGAACAGAGCATTTATATATATAGATAGATATATTCAGGCAAATTAATCTGAATCAACTACAGGGCTGATATAAATATAGTCTGGATGAAAGGGGGAAAGTGAGTGCGAGCAACTGGATTCAAGATACAGAGACCTGAACATTTGGGCATATTTGTAAAATATATATGGTCATATATACTAAGCTGAGTTCAAATGGAGGCTGCTCTTCAAATTGAGCCCTTCTTCAAAGGTTGTTCCACTTTTCATCAATCCGGCAGGAAAAATGAAAAGCAATGGCAACACAAATAGGAAATTATCCTCTCATTCATTTCTACATAGACATCATTGACATCTGGTGACCTCCATGCCAGCAGGGCAATAAATCCAATCCAGCTTTTAGTCTGGACTTCAAAGGCAGTATCCAAGGTGTTGAGCCCCATATACACAATACATCTGCTTTGTTTGATGGTGGGGGGCAGATCCAAGAGTCACCAGTTTGTAACTAATTGGGGAAGGTGGCATGATGAATGTTTATAGGCACCCCTTCAAAGCATAAACAACCATTGGCTAAAACCTAACCATCACCCCAAATTGTACTCTGGGGTCACAGATGGAAACTTTATATCCATCCAATGTTATTAAAAACCAACTCAATAAGATTATGATAGTATATTATATTATTGTGAATGATAACATTTGGTTGAGTTGTTCACTGAGTCTGAAAGCAGCAACTTTATAAATGCATTCCTTGTGAATTAAAGCAAAGACTTTGTTTCTTTTTTATTTATTTTTCTAGGCTGACGTTCAGCTATGCTATCTGGAAGCACAAAGAGATGCTGTTGAACAGATGTCCTTAAAGCTGTACAGCGAACAGTACAACAGCAGTAGCAAGCGAAAGGAAGAATTTGCGGATATGTCAAAAGTTCACACAGTGGGAAGTAATGGGTAGGGAACTATTCTTTTTGTTGTTTTATTCTCAGTGATCTGTATCTTCTCCGTCTTTTTTAACATGATCTTCCCCTTCTCCCTTCTACGTTAGTTGGAAGGATTTTTCTTACTAAACCAAAAAAGACAAGGAAACAACCTCTCTCTGTGTCCCTCTTTGTCTGCCTGTCTCTCTGTGTATGTATATGTGCGTGTATGTGTTTTTTAACATAAAGATCTATTTTGTGACTCATTGCCCTACATCGGTTGATCACTGTAAGGGCAATCTAAGCACAGCTGCTCTTTAGTTCAAATACAATGTATAGAATATCCTCAGACTTATAATGCATGCTACCTATTAAAGATTTGTTCTTTATTTGTTTCAATCCCCTAACATTTTCTAACAGGTCTTCATCACAGACAAGCAGGGGGTGGGGGAGAGACAGAGATGGCGTACTTCATTTTCTCCAGAGATGGCCAAATTCATGCCCCCGAAAAACTGATGATCAAAACATATTGAAGCTAGCCTAATATTCACTGGAAATTAATCAGTAACACCATTTCACCTAATGATAGTGTAGGGAACCCTGTGCTAATTACCCCGGCAGAAAAATGAGGGCACCCCACTTCCAAAGCAAACATATAGGTGGTGGCAAACTCATGAAGCTCCAAAGAAGGGAAATCTCACCATTATCACACCATACAAAGTGAAAAGAGATAACTTTAAAAGATGAATGGGAGCAATGCAGATAAGATGTGTACATGTTTTTAATATATTAATGTACTTGGTGAATCTTTACATGAGATGGAGCCAAGCACTGTCCTTCTGATATTGGACCAGCCCATGTCAGTAGAAACAGGAATGGGCAAATCCTTCTCCCCTGGAGCCGCATGCACTCCATCAAAACCAACACTGGAAGGCTGAGATGCCCTAGATCAAACTTTCAGGTCTGGAGAACTCTTGGAGGGGAGGAGAAAGTCCTGGCCAGTTAATGCGTTGCTGGATTTAACCCATAGATTATTCGCAAATAGCTTGGGAAAACCTTGTTGTAATTTTATTATGTAATCTTACTGTGCCACAAATAAATGTGTGGTCATTAAAGGGGCCACATAACTTTTTACTGTTTTATATAAAGGTTTGTGTGATGTATAAAACCACAACTAGTTACGACTGTGACACTATTGCTTTAGTTATTTTGCTGGGCATCAATAGCATGAGAAGACAGAGGCCCAATATGCTGCCAATCAGAGCATAGGCAGATGATATTTCTGCAGATTTGGGAGAGTCTGGTCAGAAGGATAGTTGAACAGTAGGCTTGTGCATTTCAGCTAAACCTTTATCCATTTCTGCTGGCCAGATACAGACAGACCCCAGTATTCATTTTTGTGCACCTCCTGAAAATGGGCAGGTAGCCAGATAGCCATTTTTGTACTGCAGTCGGAAAATACAGCTAGATCCAGCCCATTGGTGGCAATGGAGGAGCTCCCGTTCCCATCACTGTGGAAATGGTATTGTTTGTCCTTATATCCTTCATTAAGACCTGGGTTAAAAAGGTCTTAAGATACCACACTTTCTGTGATCCTTTCTCCTTCAGTCTGTAGAGGACATCTTAAAGATGTTTCTACTCTAAAGGAGACAGGCGCTACAGGCGCTGCAGTCACTCTCTCCCTGCACACAGCTTTCCAAGGCATTTTAAGGCGGCTTCCCACTTTCCGATGAAGGAAGAGCAATGAACTGGAACTAGCCAACACTGGGTTTCCTTTAAAAAGTCCTCTCTTTTCTCTTGATTTGCACTGCAGGCCCTTCCTGGAGTGATGTCCCCCTCCCCCATGCCTTTCTGCTTCAGGTTTAATGCTTCCTTACACACACATAATGAACAAAAGTAATGATTTTAATTGCTTTTGAGAAATGGGAATGTGAAGAATTACGTTAACTGTAATGAAAATATAACCAGTTGAGAGTCTTTGAACTTTAACTGCTACCAATTGTTTTTCACCTTCCCATTGTCTGCTGGTTTTGATGAATTGGTAACTTGACACATAATGCTTTTAAACTATGCGATTTAAAAATAATATTCTTGTTCCCACCAATCATAATCATTATAACAGTGAAACCTGCATAGCAATACCAGAAAATATTCAAAATTTTAAGCCTGAACAATTACTGAACGAAAATTATGAATAGTACTCACAAGTTGATTTTCTCTCAAGAAAAATTCTCATGCATTTTCATTTTATATGATGGATTAATGTCCACATCTTAAGAAATATATTTGCATTCAGAGAATTAGGTGTATAGCACTGCATTTGTGATTACCTGTCCACCAGGTTAAAATAGATTTGTTACAACTTATTCATCCAGTGGGAATACATTTGTATTCACATTCTTTAGCTTAACACATTGCCTGTGGTGTTTCGGTTATTATTTTAGAATAATAGAAAGTGAACTCGTACTATGTCTGACCATTGTTCCATCTAGCCCAGTTCTGTCCACAGTGACTGACAATGGATTACCAAGACTTTTTTCCAAAAGCAAGAAAGTGAATATTGCACCAAGCTACAACCCTTCTAATTTTAATAATTTTACAAGAAATGTTTATTTAATACATATTTTTGTCACCTTTCTTGACATGCATTTTTATCAGATTTATCTATAGTAGATTATTCACTAAGTACAATGCAACTACTGGATATTCTAAAGGAGCACAACCATAGTAATATATTTGCATTGAATGCCCTTTATGAAATGAGCACCACTAAGAAAATCCTATGAAATCTATGGGGTCATCCTACATAGATAGGCAACTTGAGGGCACACACACACACAAATATTCTAGTTGATGATGGTCGTACTAAGTCACATTCTTCCATCAGCAAAAGCCAAATGTACATTTTCAGAAACCGTAGTAATAGGTACACATTTTATCAATACTTTTAAGGTTGATTCTTTACTTCCTCATCAGTCTGTTTTGCTCAGCTCATCAACATTTTAAGGACACTTTTAGACAGGTCTAAAAAGTGTGAGTTCTGGTTTTGTCAGTTTTTTGCAAGTTGTTTCCAACCTCACTTATTCCATTTCTTTGGGGGCTTAATGTGTAATTTTTTGGAGGGGGATGACACCCAATTCCTGAAACAGGGTTTGGAGTATCCCCTGAATTAGGAGTTCTCCAAATACCTGGGTTTGTTCCTAAGTAGAATCAGCCACAGCTGTCTTGACAGCCATCCCACGGTCCCCTTCTGCCCCTTCCCTTGGTGTCATGGCTAGAGACAGATGTGACATAACTACTTAGCTTACAGCCAGCAGTCTGGCAACCTGCTACCAGACATTGGGACCCCACTAAGGAAGCTGGGAGGATAAAATGCGGGTGTCCCATAGGACCCCTGCACAGCGGTGCCAAATTGTGTTGAAGGCAACTGGGTAGTAGGAATTTCCTGTTGTCACCAAGGCAACTCGGGGACTACATGTTAGAAGAGGTCTCACTTATCTGAATATCATATCGAGCCCACTTCATCTGTCACTGTAGAAGCATCCAGAAATCATGAGAGACAACCATCCAATGGGAATGACCAAATTTCCAAGACATTTCCAAGTTGGAGATTATGAATAAGCTTTAGGGTGCCATGCAGGAGAGAGAGAGACCCCAACCCCCCCCAAAAAAGGAGACAAAGGGTTTAAATGCTCTGTTGTACCTAGGGAGGCTGGGCAAAAAATGCAGACTCCCCAGCTTCCCTATAAATATTCAAGCTCAGAAATCTATCCGTTTTCTGAGTAGAATAGCAAATATTTAGCTAGATGCATTAGGGTTTGTGTTGCTTTCTAATCTCAGCTGAGTAACCTAGGCTGTTTTGTAACTTTATAAATACTTTTTAAGCCACACCTGAAGGAAGGTGCCTTCATATAAAAAGATACTCTTTTTGCTAACATAGAATTTTTCCTTAGTATAAATGTTTCCCTTAAGATCTCTTCATTCTCACATCCCTTCTTGTTGTGTGTACACAAATGTACATGAGATTCTCATTTCCCAAGTGATAGGAAAGGAAAGTCTGTTTGGAATCAGAGGTGGAGAAAGTGTAAGCCAGAGCCCTCAGTAACTTCCCGCAGAAACATAAGGAGTTAAAATAAGTACATGGTAGCAGTTGATAATCTTAAGGTGTCCCATTTCCTACTCCAGAACAGGACCATGAACTGATAACAAGCTGTGACTTTCCGTTATTTTCCACTCTGTGTGCCTATGTGCCTTTAAGTCACTTATCAGTTTGTGTCAACCTTATGAATAGAGTTTTCTTAGGAAAGGAATACTCAAGGAATATATATGACCTATAACCCTTGTATTTGTTGTGGGTCTCCTATATAAGGCCTGCTTAGTTTCCAAGATCAGATAGGATCTGGTAACTTTAGGGTATTAAGCTTGCTCTATTTTCTACTAGACTATAATAATGGAAGTATTTTAAATACAGCTGTTCCTGGCTCGCACTTCTGGCCAATACTGCAAACCATACATTCTCTCTGTGGTAGTATCAGTAGAGTCATATGACTCAATAAAGGAAACTGCAGTCCTGGGATTCCAATATCTGAGCAGAGGTGTCAGTGAGGGAATCTCTTAGAGATCTCTTATTCATAGAGTTGCCATAAGTCAAAGAACATAACAAAAAGATTTAAGACAACAAGAGAAAAATGGAAACTTATGGAACACTGCTCTCTCTACCATCACCTTCATCCTTGTACATACTCTATTTCCCTAGTAAATCAGCCTGGGGACTTCCTGTCAAAATGGCTTTGCTCCATCACATGACCAGAACAATGGTTACAAAATCTGCAGAAGGCTCTTGCACTCTACTTCTCATATGTTTATTTCATGTGCGGATATGATAAACCATGCAAGTGACTCTGCTGATGCAATTGATTATGACAGTTTATTACACGTGTGAAAGGCAGTTTAATAAATGTATAAAACAATTTACAAGGAAGAGATGTGTGGCAGGAGTTGGTGACGCCATAATAAGAGGGATTAAAGCTATGTTGTGTTAAACATGACATCTTAGTGCAGAAGGTGTGTTTCTTCCTGATGTAATACAGATTACATGGGACCAAATGATTGATTCAGGTAGAGCTTTGAATGTAGTATATGTATCTATGAGGAACTGGATAGGAAGGGGAAGGAGTGGAGGCACAGGGTGTTCTCATTCCAATTTAGGAAGACAGAATTCTTGAAGTGACTGTCTGGCTACAAATGGTGTAAGTGGTATTTTGGTTTTTAATGAAGCATTTCCATGTTTCCATGATGAGGGATTTTGCAAAATATTGGATTTGTTTGACATAGCTTGAGAAGAATATGTTTAGTCGAGGTGTCACAAGCATGACCAGGAAGACTTTAAACTGAATTTTGCAATGATGGGCTATGAAATATTAAAGACAAACTGGTACCCAATACAAGAGGCAGGCAAATAAATGAAACCATACAAATGTAACTTCAAGCCACACTACATCACCTTGTAGTGACATTCCAAGTGGTATTCCTGAGATCTGAAAAACAATCCACAGCCATAGCTAAGTGAAGGAGGTTGCATTCCTGTAATATTAAGAAAGAAAAAGATGGGGAATCTTTCCAGTTACCTCATAATATTTTAAACATTTCTTACACATAAAGTTTGCCCTTCCACAAATGAATACCTCCTCTCTTTGCTGATCACCAGGTTCCTGATTCACACTCATGACAAACCACCAAAATATTTGAAATATTGACACATATATAATGTGTTTTGAACCTTAAACAAGAGTTTGAAATGACAACAAGGGAGATCCCAGCGGAATTCTCGAAAGAACCTCACAGTCCTACAACCTGCTCAAAATAGAAAATATTCTTTGGATTGTGTTTGAACTCTCCATCCGATTATTTTAAACAGAAACTGTATATTTACCTATCAGTAGAGAAAATTGTAGTAAAGGATTTCATGTATTGGTGGAAATTAGACTAGATTATATTTGGAAGATCATCTAGTTCTGTGATTTTTGAATGTATTTATTTATTTTATTAACTTTATTTCTATTCTGCCTTTCTCCCCGTGGGGATTCAAGGTGGTTAACAACCATAAAATCTAATCACAGTTTAAAACATAGCAAATACAAAAAACCTATAATTAAATAATACTGTGTGGATAAAAGTTAAAATATAATTAGTATGTCATAAATACAATTAACAGGAGTCCCCAGTGGTGCAGTGGGTTAAACCCTTGTGCCAGAAAGACTGATGCCTGATAGGTTAGAGGTTCAAATCCGGGGAGAGCAGAGATGAGCTCCCTCTGTCAGCTCCAGCTCCACATGCAGGGACACGAGAGGAGCTTTCCACAAGGATGGTAAAATATCTAGGCGTTCCAACTGCCTGCTGGCAAAGAAAGGTCTTGCTGAAGGCAAGAAGGGATAGGACCATTCTGGTCTCTCTGGGAAGGATGTTCCAAAGTCTGGGACCAGCCACTGAAAAGGCCCTCTGCCGTGTTCACACCAAATACATTTGAGCGGTTGGTGGGTCAGAGAGAAGTTCCTCCCCAGTTGGCTGTAGATATCTAACAGGTTCGTAAAGAGATATATGGTCCTTCAAATAACCTGGACCTAAGCCGTGAATGAGCCTATTCTTCAAGGAAATGAAATAGTTTAGATTCCTTTTCTCAGCCAATCCCTTTCCATAGCAATGATAATGGTGATTAATTGGATGTGTTATCTTGTCAGAAACTTTTTAATATACTTTTTAATTACTGCTGCACCTGCTTAGGTAACAATTCATTTGCAATTTTCCATGGAGTGCACAAATATGAGGCAGCAAATAAGCAAATGGTAGCCATCGCAGAATTGCATGGCTAGTTGCTACCACTTGTTAATTGTTACTCTCATAATTAATTGTCAAAATCATGTTAATGACATATATATGTATAACTCTGATGGCACATCCCTATATCTCCTTTTGAATGTGATGTAAGTGGCCATTTGCTAATTCTTTGCTCCCTATTCAAAGTCCCCCAGCATTTCCCATTTGGCTCCTATTTACAAGTGAGGGACGGGACTCCAAGAATGAAGATGTGGTGAGTCTTGGTGCAAGAGGCAAGGGTGCTCCCCTAGCAGGCAAGCCAGGCATTTCTTCCTCTCAGTTGTATTCATTCCTGACCAGGCCATGGAACAGCCATAGCAACACAAACACACACAGCTTGACAACTGCTGGGGAAGAGAGAGATCACAGAACTGTGTAGGTGGCTAGTTTCATTCTGCCTATTTGATCCAGGACCTCAGCCAAAATTGATTTCAAAATGACAAAATAGTGATAGATCATAATTAACATTAGTTATAAATTTCAGTGGTGATATATTAAGTACTTTGAAAAGTTGCATTGGTCCAAAATATAAAATCTGCCTTCTCTTCAGACAGTTATAGAAAGCAAGGGAGAACTATATGACTGGGGCTTAGCTCTTTGAGGTTTTCTACTTCTGACAAAGATAAAGTATTTGTTGGAATACAATTAGCAATTTTTACTTATACAGTACTAATTTGTTTCCAGAAATGCACTGTTCTCTGCCTAAGAAAGGAGCAGTTAGCTTTGCACTGGATAGGGACAGCTGGATCTCAAGGAAAGTATCTTTTTTGTTGGTAATGGAATTTAAATTTTAATACCTGTTTTTTACTGTCCTTTGTTCCCAATCCTCACATGGTGCCTGTGTGCCTTGGAATCTCTCAGTACCATCTTAGGTTATTTATTTATTTATTTATTTCCTGCATTTTTACCCCACCCTTCTCACTCCCGAGGGGGGAATCAGGGTGGCCTTACAGCAAACACCATTTGGTGCCATCACAGCCATAAAAACATCAATCAAATTCATTAAAAACAAGACATTAAATAAACAGTTGTTAAAAACAAGCCAATTAAAATCCAAGTCCAGGTCAAATCATTATCTTCTAGAACAGGGGTCCTCAAACTAAGGCCCAAGGGCTGAATACGGCCCTCCAAGGCAATTTACCCAGCCCTTGCTCAGGGTCAACCTAAGTCTGAAATGACTTGAAAGCACACAACAACAGCAACAACAATCCTATCTCATCAGCCAAAAACAGGCCCACACTTCCCATTGCAATACTAATAAGTTTATATTTCCTAAAATTGTTCTTTATTTTAATTATATTGTTTTTAAGTGTTTTTTGCACTACACATATATGCAGTGTGTATAGGAATTCATTCATGTTTTTTGAAGTTATAATCTGGCCCTCCAACAGTTTGAGGGATTCTAACCTGGCCCTCTGTTTAAAAAGTTTGATGACCCCTGTTTTAGAAGGTACAATTTCATCGATGCAGATGAGTGAAAATGGTATTGTGGAATGAGCTATCCTATGACCTGAATATAGCAAGAGCCTCATGTATAGAGTCGCCATTAAATTTTCTTTGTCGTGTCAGGGCAACCAGTCAATTGTATTACATATCTAACAGAACAAAACAAACAGACAAAATACAAAATTTGTGAGTTTGGTAGTTGATTAAATGTCCTTTGACCAGTAGCTGGCCACTTGGAGTGCTTCTGGTGTTGCTGCAAGAAGGCCCTCCATTGTGCATGTAGCAGGGCTCAGGGTGCATTGCAGCAGGTGGTCAGTGGTTTGCTCTTGCAGTATGCAACCATTAAATTAATTGTCTAGAATTGTCACGTCTATGCACTCTTGGGTGGGGGACAAGAGAAATCCTAAGCCGTTCAAATATTGTCATAGAAAACCCTACAAATATTATTTCAGAAATAAGTGTAACCACATAAAAGTATTACATGAGTGCTGATTTTGTCTTTAATGTAGTTCAGTATCAGTAGATTCACACCAAATATTGATGTTCAGGGTACTAATATTGCACCTCTTGTGGGTTGCACTTATTCCCTTGTGATCCACAAGCAACTTAGCGGATATCACTGATTTTGATTACAATACAAAGTGATAATTAGTTCTGGTAAGTAGTAGTACAATATAGATGACATGCCCTGTGTGCTTCTTGGTGAAGGATAAGATTTGGAGAGTTACAGGTTACTTACTCTGAATGATTCTTTTTAAAGTTATCCTTCAGAGAATTTTGCAGTTTTTCCATGAGCACCCTCTTTTCCTTTCTTGTATCACAGTATTTTACTTATTCACTAGGCTTTCAATAGAGAATAACATTAATCCTTTTAAGCTCCTTATTCTAATGATTTATTTTGTTGGAAAGCGTTGTGATCCTTCTTTGAATTTTAATGATTGCTGGCTATTCAAGGATTCATTGTTTTGACTTCCTGTCCTTACCTTTGTTTCTAACATGTCTGTAGGGAACACCTGTCTAATACTGTATCTGGCCTTGGTTCTCACTGGCTTACGTATTCACTCAAGCCTATCTTAAAGTGTTATGTTGAAATGCTAGCTACTCATGCATGAAAATAAACGTAGGATATATATTTGCAGAGATAGGCAGATAGACAGCAGAAGGATGGCTAAATGGATTGAGTCATTTTTTCATCGAAAGTAGTGTTTTTGGTGCAAATAACAGCACATAATGTTCATTGTGGAGAAGTTTGCTAAATATGTTAGCACTTTAAAAGCCATTAAGCAGTTTCCTATGTAATCCCCATTTCCTAAGTTTTTGAAGCAAGTGAAATATGTCTGCTGTTGTTGACAGAACCAAGCATAATTTGCTGAGATATAGGTAGTGGCTTATATGAGAGCTGAATTTCCGCCTATCCTCTTGAAATAAAGAGTCTCTTCCACAATAGAGCTAGGAATATCATACGATTTCCAGAATATCTTATTTTAATAGACAGCTTTAACGGCTATACTCTATTATGCATAATACATTTTGTTCCTTATCTGCAGCCTTTTGGACTATGATTCAGAATACCAGGAGCTCTGGGATTGGCTGATTGACATGGAATCCATAGTGATAGACAGCCATGACCTGATGATGTCAGAGGAGCAGCAGCTTCATCTTTACAAGGTTAGAGCTTCCCTTACTGCCTTTACCTAGCTAGAGGAGATCTGATTAGTTTGACAAGTCTTTCTCTCACAGGATGGCCCTGCGTTCATTGTATATATCATGGTGTCTATTAGAATTCCCTTCCCTGTCCCCAACCTCATTTCTATCCTCTCTGGGCTGACAGCCTGCACCAACATCATAATTGTGAGCAAGTTCTCTTTATCACATTCTATGTGCTGGAATTCTATAGCAGGACAAAGAATTGCCTTTGGAGTGAATAGAAACAGATGAAGCTGCATTCATAGACTGAAACAAAGTGAAGGGGGGGGGGGGAATGATACGAGCATTTAGAAAATGTGTTGTGATTGGAGATTTCTTATAGATGCTATCACATGTCTTTACTATAGGAAATAACCTTAGGTGATTTCTTTTGACGTATAACATTTTTCCAGTGTAATTTATTGGAATAATAATAATAATAATAATAATAATAATAATAATAATAATAATAATATAAACTGAGAATCTCTTATCCAAAATTCTTAAGACTAGATTTTTTTTAAAAAAATCAGATTTTGGAAAATCAGTATTGATATATGAATACATAATGAGATCTTTTAGAGACAGGTCGCAAGTCTAAATTCATTAATGTTTCATATAAACCTTATACGCATACCCTGAAGCTAATTTTATACACAATGTTTTTAATATTTTTTCTGCATTAAACAGTTTGTGTACACTAAACCAAAGGTGACACTATTTCAGCCATTCATGTGGACAATTACGGATTTTGGAATATTTCTTATTTTGGAATTCTGAATAAGGAATGCTCAACCTGTAATAATAGTAGATAGCAAATATTGTTTTATTATACAATCTTTACTTATATCACATAGTAATTATAAATTTGTGCATTGGTTGAATATCTTTTGTCTACAGAAACTGTCTTTTTCTTGCTGTTGTCACTAGACAGGAGGCCTGATTACTTCTGCTTAACAAAGCATTATGCTAACTTTTTCAGAAGCTGTAATTTCACCTTTAACTTCAATTCTAGACTTTTGTATGTGATGTAGAAATCAGGGGGAGAGGGAATGGGGGTGTGGAGGAGGGGCTTTCTACAGAAATGTCAAGATGTAGTAAATCTTCCTCATTTAGGCCATTTTTATTGGACTAATTCTGACAGTTGTCATCCTTGAATTGCTTTGAGCATATGGCATATCTCAAAGAGCAGATTGTGAATCATAAAAAATAAAATTAATAACTAACCACAGAATCAGCAACACTATAATGACAAGAAACAAGTACCCTCTAGCTTTTCAAAAATTTCTTATCAAAGAAATGAGACACTCAAGGTCAAATAGAAGTTGATTTCTTTCTGCTTTGTTTGTATTTTTGATCATTTACTCAGATATGTACTTTTAAGAAAAGTGCATTTGTTACTCTGTAGTTTATGTGAAAAATGTATTCACAAAATATTTGAACAGCAAAAATACTTGTCATAGCTCAGTGGTATAACACCTGTTTTTCATGCAGAGATCACAATACCTAGGGTCCATCCTTGGCATCTATAAACTGAGCTGGAAAAAAAAATCTTGCTCCAAACCTAGAAAATATCAGGCAGGAAGTGTCAATACAGTTGAACAGCATCAACCAATGTTCTGACTGACTAAAAGGCAGCATTCCATATACCGTGTGTATGTTGTTATAAGATATTAACTTTATCTGTTTCTCCGAGGACTAATAATATCACAAAACCCATATGCCATGCACAAGTGTTTTATCCTTTCCTGTACAATTTTGAATAAAGTTTGGTCATTTAGGAAAAAGTAGCTCTGTTAATGTGTTTCAGCAAGAACAGCTGAGTATGTGCATATATGCATATATATATATATATATATATATATATATATATATATGTCAAAAGCATTGCACAAAATAATTTATCTAAAACTGATAAAATAGTTTATCTAAAATTGATAAAATAAAGGGATCACAAGCTGCTAGATAGTTTTAGAACAAAAACGGGCAACAGCGACTGCATTGTCTGTAACTTTAAACAATTCTTTCTCTGGGCATGAGGCAGGGCACTGTGGGCAAGCATACAGATGCTGAGTTGTTTGTTCTACTCCACAATTGCATAAGGTGGAAGATTCTTCTAGGTAGTTCCATTTTGCCAGGTTGTCTTTTGATCTGCCAACTCCACTTCTGGGTCTGTTCAGGGACTTCCAAGTTGTACATACTTGATTTGCCCCTCGAGGAAGACCCTCGTGGGGGCCTACCCAGTTGGAATCACCTGATTTTGATGCCCACAGTGATATTCTTGATGTTTCTGGAAGAACATTCAGAGGAGTGGTGATTCTCACGAAACTTTTCCTTGATTTAGGTTTACTGGGAGGAGGCAGTTAGCCATTCAGTGGGTGGCTTTCACAGTGTTCAATCTTTTTTCTCTAGCATTTGCTAGCAACTTCTCATCACACAACTGGGGGGGGGGGGTGCCAGCTAGTTTATAAAGTCTATCAATAGGTGTAGGTTCAAGACATCCTATGATTATTCCATGTGTCTCATTTAGTTCTATATTCACCAGCTTTGTGTGGGCAGATTTATGCCAGACAGAGCAGGCATGCTCAGCAGTTGAATAAGACAAGGCACAACTGAATCTTGTGACACCTTAAACGATTTTAAAGTCTTATTTGACCTGAGTGTTCATGGATGTCAACCTACTCCATTGGATATGCCTGACAGAGATGAAAACTCAAATTATGTCCATCTTTACCTCTCTCTTCTCTCCCCTCCAGGTTCACTGTCTCCTCGCTGGTCTCTTCTCTTTCCTATTTCATATATCGTAATAAATTATTTCTCCCAATTTCAGGTCTTTTGACTTAATCACCAACCCTTCCCCCCAAAAAGCATGATATAATTATTATTAATGCATGGATTCCAATGTCTAAAAGATACATCTGAAAACTAGACTAAATATTAAATCAAATAAACATGTTAGCCTTTAAGCTGTTGTTACTATTACTTTAGCTTTACTAGGGACTTGAGGGCACATGCAGATACAACAGTGCCATTGAGGTAGCAAATAAGTAAATGTAATAGGATTACCCTATTCTTACCCCCCTCCCCCAATCCTCCAAAGAGATACACACCAAGATTAAGACAGGCAAAAGGCTGATGTGGTTGTCTTTTTAAAGGATGGGTTGGATCCTAAACTCCTTTTTATACTCTTGCTATCTGTTTATCCTCTCTTCTCCAAATGTTTCCTCCTTTCCAGAGCTAAAGATATTGTGTGCATCTTTCCTCTCCTCCAAAATACCTGAATGTTTATCTCTTCCTGCTTTTCTAACTTCCAAGACAACAACAACAACAACAACAATAAAAATAATAATAATAATAATAATAATAATAATAATAATAATAATAATAACTTTATTCTTATATCCCACCATCATCTCCCCGAAGGGACTTGGGGTGGCTTACAGACTGCACAAAATACCTAAAAACAAACATAAAAGTGAATACAATATTAAATACAATACAATGAAAAACATGCACATTTAAAAACATCAATTCAGACTCAATCAAGATGCTCAGTCTTTTGTCCCTTTTGCCATCCATTGTTCTTCTTTCTGGTCCCCTTGACAGTTTTTCTGGTCCAAACCTATTTCATAAGGTTGTTGTGGCAACCTACCATACTGGAGCAGTGGATGAAGAGGTACAAAGGTTTGCCCTATAATTCTAGCATTTGATGGGATATTGTAGAAGTGAAAAGATTAATTGTTGGCATAATTCAATATAATTAAATCATCTATATTAATGGTTGTTATTTAAATGCAATAAAGGTTAGGAATATTTCTAGCAGCAATTATCACAGTTTATTTCGTAGGGGTAACAATATTAGGAGCGATAATGCACAAATATTGAGAGTTTTCTAAGACCAGCCTCAAAAGGGTTTTGTTATGTACCCAGGACTATATGGCCCCTTCTACAGTGCCCTATGTCCCAGGATCTGATCACAGATCATCTGCTTTAGACTGGGTAATATGAATCTCCATTGCCAGGTAGTCTGGGATAAGCAGATAATCTGGGATCAGATCTTGGGATGTAGGGCGGTGTGGAAAGGGCCTAAGACACATTTATTAATAACTGTTCCCATATTAATTTTGATGTGGCAAGTTTTCTAAAGATTATTTTACTATGTCAATATCTCAAGGTGAATATGTCTTGTGGAGACATCCTCATGTGGTGCCTGTTGGCACTTGTCACAATTGGAAGAGGACTCATTCTGAAGGCTATTTGGTGATGTGGTAGATACTGGTTGCTACCACACGAGGGCTCATTTGAGTGCAGAATTTAAGTTTTACTGTTTCAATTGTGTATCAAACTTTTCATTATATTTTCCAAACCCTCACAGATTTCCGTTGTAGTCACTATAGGACAAAATCTAAGCTATTAAATTAGTCATCCTGATGCAGAAATGCAGGATAGGTATCTTTTGAAATGATAGACCTACTCCTTTTAATTTGTAACATGGTGCTACAACAATCAGACTATAGTGTGTTCTCTTTTCTTGCAGTAGTTTTCTTAAATCTACAGAAACTTCTTCCCAGTTATTGAACTGATATGTAATTGCACCTCTGAGCCAACTCAGCAAACCTTCTCTGCTAGGTTACCTGCTGTGTTACCACTATTTCTAGCAGTAATCTTTGCCCCTAAGGAGTCTATAAATGGGGGAGATCTATAATAAAGCAAGTACACTGTAAAGCAAGAGCATACATTAAAACATAATAACAGTATAGACATACCAGAACTAGATATGAAAAAAGCTATCTGTATGGTCACAGTTCAGTGTAAATTTTCAGTGATCTCTTTCTCCAAATCCACACCGATTAAAGCCAGTCTTTCTGGTTCAAATATTATACTGACAGCTGATGACAGCTTGCCTTTTTGATACTGACATACGGCTCAGTTGTAGTTTCTCTTCTCTGTTGGTTCCGTGTTTAATTTTATCTTGGATCCAC